ACCAACGTCCTCACTGACAAATTCACTCACACTAAATGCTATTCCTGAGTGAGACTGCTTGAAATCCTTCTCATGAATTGTAATTATAATTAGTTGGTGCTGCTGTTCCAGTTGCAAAGAAATGATTGGAGACCCTTATTTTTATTTTTTTTAAAGCACAGAACAATTAGGTTACACAATATCTTCTGGACGTTATTTTCTAAACCCTGGCTACAAAAAGACACATTTTTCTCAGGGAAGGCTTAGACTTTGTTTTAGCTCATCTTTGTGGATGTGTGAGCTGCTGCCAGTTCCTGTTGCTGCTGTTTTCTTCTTCAGGATGAAAGGTTTAATGTTCGGGCTCTTTAACACTCAGCCAGGCCACAAAGCAGCCCCGAAAGAAGAGGAGAAAAAAAAGACAGACCGAGAGGAAACAAGGGAGAGGGGAGCTGGAGAAGGAATTGGGTTGACGACACAAAGAGACACAGAAGGAACAGATGTAGAGATGCTGGTCTGAAGAGACTTCAAACAATGGTGTGGGTTTGTCAGATTCAAACGAAACATTTTCTCACTTGCATTTAATGTTATTTGAAAACCGCTCACATTGAAATGCTTAAATTATCCATCGTTCCGGGAGAATGCTGGTCGAAATACATTTTCAAACGCTGTAAACGTTGCAAATAAATACTATTAATTTCTTAGTTTAGGGCTAAAAGCAAAGTATTTTAAAAATTAAAACAAGATTATCAAACAAGCTGCATTTTTAAGGATGAACCGACTATTTAAGTGAAATGACCAAAGGTTTATGGATATAACCTGAACCTCTCTTATTACATTTTACTGCCAAAGACCATTTTGTGAAGCTCTAGATTGTTAGTAAACTAGGAACGATGTTGACTGCTCTATCAATTACCTGAAAGTACAGCATTTGAAAAACATCCTTCTTTTCAACACATGGCTTTGGGAAGGATATTCACCCTTTTAGATAAAAAAACAAGCTGTATTTATCTCAGTGTTTAGCTTCCTGTCTGTTTGAGTAATGTCACCTACAGTATATGTCAAAGCAAGTAGAATCGAACAGCATTTCTACCACTTAGTCACTCTGCTAAAGAGGAGAATATGTAAATGCTTCATGGCGATGACAGTGATAACGGTTATGTCCTTTTCACCAGACGTAGCTAATAGCTTCAGCTCCATTACCGTTATGGATGTCTTAAGAGGGTCCACTTGTGTTGCGCTCTGATTTTTCACGGGACACTGCACCTCCTTTTCTGCTCTGTGTGTACAGTAAATGCAGACACCCATTTCTTTAATGTTGGATTAATACAAGGCATAAGGCGAAGATCTGTTTGGATGGCTCTTTATCTCGAGTATATCAGTGTGAATAATGTGTGTTAGGGGTTGGTGGGTAGGGTCATAGGCTGGGGTGGTGGTGGTGGTGGGGGATTGAAAAATGATCTCACGCAGAGATGCTCCATAAATCCCCCTCATAATTGTTTCCCTACTTGGTGTGCAGTCTTGCTCCATAAAGGGGTAAAGCCAAGGGTGCTCTAAATGTCAGGGGAGCGGCGCGCTGATGAATTACCTTTTTAAAGATATCAGAGAGAGGCGCGCTTCACGTGAAAGATGAGCCCAACACAGCGCTCCGAGGCCCTGTCTGCCGGGGTGGGCATATTTCCCCCCCAGGGGAAATTTGTCTTTTTATCAACTGTCCGAAAGAAGTCACAGCATATTCTGAATGAATAAATCAAAGAGAATTAGTTTGCTCTGTTCTCTTATCTCAGATGTCCTCGTTTTTCCTGTGGAGATCACCTGCAGATGCGTTTGTGTTTGTGTGCGTATGTGTGTGTGTTTGCAGAATTGATATCAGGGGTGGCTCACATCTGGATCTGACTGGTTTAGTTTAAGCTGGCAACAAACACACACACGCTTTTGTCCGTCCTATTTATAACCCTTGTTTGAAAAACCAAGACTGACAAACACTTGGGTTTTAAATAATGACACACACTTCCACCATTTGGAGATCCATCGTGAACACACACACCATCAGGATACAAACTGTAGCTTGTGTGTGTGTGTGTGTGTGTGTGTGTGTGTGTGTGTGTGTGTGTGTGTGTGTGTGTGTGTGTGTGTGTGTGTGTGTGTGTGTGTGTGTGTGTGTGTGTGTGTGTGTGTGTGTGTGTGTTGTGTGTGTGTGTGTGTGTGTGTGTGTGTGTGTGTGTGTGTGTGTGTGTGTGTGTGTGTGTGTGTGTGTGTGTGTGTGTGTGTGTGTGTGTGTGTGTGTGTGTGTGTGTGTGTGTGTGTGTGTGTGTGTGTGTGTGTGTGTGTGTGCAGCCCTGGGCAGCATTGCAGCTGATAATCCTTGCATAGCCAGAGTTTGGTTGATGCCTTGATGTTAGTCAAGGTAATAACAGAGATGGTCGCAGGATGTCTCTTTGCCCTTGGCCTGTCTGGGACAGCTATCATTACAGACCCAGTGCCTCTCCAGATAAGAGCACCCGGGCTGTCGCCGCAGCAACCTGCTGTGATAGCTCATGCTTAAAGGATAATACTTTTTACACATTAATCAGATGGCGCTTTGACCACAGAGTATTGCACGGCCCAGATGAAATTGAAATGCGTGGTTTGGTTCCCTGATAATCTCCTCACAGACATCAGTAATATGTGGCCACTGATCGTGCTGAAGTGAAACCGAGTCATGGGAACGACTGTGGCAAGTTTGAATATTTATATTCAAAATGCAGATATTCTGAGAGCCTCACTTATTTATTTCTCTACTTCAATCTTGCTAGTTCTTGAGACCATCTGGACTGTTGGCAAATGTAAACTCTCTGTTATTATGAGAGGTGAGAAGCTGTTTCACTTTTAAATTCTGGAGAAATGCAAACACGTTGTTCAGGATGTAGTTTTCGGTAATGTTTTACAATGATGAGCTGTCCTAGCAATTCCAACCATAAAGCATGACGACCAACTTTTCACCAGCTAGTTGTTCACCTACAAAGCAAAGGATAAATGCAATCTAACCTTTTGTTACATCCTAAGAAAGCACTTCAAATGATCAATTCTTTGACCTCTAAGGCTTTGATTTCTGCCATTTTCAATTTAGCAGTTTAAAGTGAAGTTTATTTCGTGTGGGTTTTTCCTCTCTCCTTCCCTCGTGAGCGAGAAATTGCCTTTTCAGGTTGTGAAAGCAGCCACTCATTCGTGTTAATTTCTGTGTTGCTTTCCATCAATCGTCCACCCCCTCTCTCAGGGTTTTTATGTTTATCCCCATCTGTAAGACTGCCTCTATCCTCCTCCATTCTTCCTTTGTGTTTACGTCCATGAATTTTGAGAAAAACATGTTGAGGAGCTCCCCTTGGTGATGGCAGCAATTTAGCTTTCATATATTCCTATCCTCCAGACACTGCTTAGTGCTGCTGTAGTGAGTGTGTGTGTGTGATTGTTTGAGTGCATTTGTTTTACAGTATGCTAAAGAGTATTGAAACTAAGCTTTTATTTTGAGCTACAATTTAGGAGAGAGTCTGACATTGACAGCGTGGAGGTGAACACTCATCTGAAAATATAAAAACAACATTATGTTTTTTAGGATGTCACGTGATTATTCAAAGGCTTTCAGCTTTCAGTAGAGAAGGTGGCATACGTTGTAAGATTGGTGGCGTGATTATTGGTGGCGTGATTCATACCTCTTGACTGACAGCTCGTCAAACACTGAGCAGTAATTGAAAAGTGGATAATGATCGTTGTTTTGTGTGAAATTCAAACCAAGGGTTGGAAAAGCTGGTCTTGTAGGGTCAGCGGCTTCTCTAGTTTTGTAAGGCTGAGTAATTAAATCAGAGAAGCGAGTGAAGTATTCCTCAGCTCAGTGCCTCGTCTTGTTTCCTCTTTAATCAGGTGGCTATTAAACCTCTGATTGCACTCCCTGACTTCTGACTTCAGCTTGGCTGTTAAACACAGACTGAAAGCATGTTTTGTTTGTGTGGGTGTTTGACAAAGAAAAGCAGTCTTTGGATCAAAAAGTGAAAAACAAAGGGAAGGGTAAATGCAACACACAACCACACACACGGTCATAGTTATTCCTCTTCTTGTTGACTCAATGATTAATACTTCTCTCCACAGCCATAAATCATTTCCCCAGGGTACCACTGACCTGTGAGATATATCTGTGACCTCACGTATTACTCAAAACACACACATTGATGCATTAAGCCGCACATGCACCACAAATCCTCTTAACACAAAAACACGTTCATTGACATTTGCAGAAAGAGTTTGTGTTTCATTGCTATTAAACAGTTCTGAAATGAATTCTGCCTCGGCATGCTGCTAGTGACATATGACCTCCTCCAAGGTCATCCCAGATTCCCCCTCCTGCACCTCTCAGAGATCACCCAGATTAGAGCGATGTCGGCCACCGCTGGCCGGGCTGCCTGCATATATCTGTTCCTGTGTTCTCGGCTTACTGCTGCTGGCACGGACAAGGTTGTTCAGCAAGGAGAGTTGACCTTTGGGTTGAAACCGAGAAAAAACCTGGTGTTGTGCACTATATTTAGGGCTCATTGTTTGAGTTTTTTAAATAATAAATCAGGCAATTTATCTGTGTTTTTTATATTGAAAAACAGGTGCAAAAATATCAACAATACAAAACTCTGAGGGTTTAAATCGGATTATAAAAAACTATTTTTAGAGCCCGTTAGTTTAAGCATTTATTACTTATTTTAAACTCAAAACTTTGCTTTGAGGGACTATATCAGACAGCACATTTACATTTTCTCTTCTTTTTTTATTATTTATAACCAGAAGCTTATTCAAAATGGTGCAAAAGGACTTCTCAAAACTCCCTTTTAGTGTCCTCTTGCATCTTGAATCACAACATTCTGCTTGAAAGTCTTTTTAAACTTTATAGTTTTCTTTTGAAAACTGAAAAGAAAAATGGTAAACTGATCAAAAAGTACAAAATAAGCATTAGCTGTATTCGCCATATCACTTTTGTGAATCTAATTGGTTTGTTGCCCCTACAGCTCCGACCATCCTCAACGAGTTGAACTGGACCCAGGCGCTGGAGAAGGTCTTCATTGAGAACCGTCAGGACGACAGCTCTCTGCGCTGGCAGGTGTTCGGCAGCGCCACAGGAGTGACTCGATATTACCCAGGTAGGCCGCAGGGAACAGAGTCAACAGTCTGCCTTATAACTCATGGCAAGATAAAGTCTAACCCTAGTCTTGACCCTAGGGGCTCCTCCGATGCAGAACAGTGAAAATCTCTTATCAGAAGACTGTTATGGTGACTGGACAGGACTAAATTATGATTACTTTGATATAATCTGATAAGAAATATCCTACAGTACACTGAACGGCTTATAACTTATTTTCTTGCTCTCCCCAGCCACACCATGGAGGGCGCCCAAAAAGATTGACCTGTACGACGTCCGCAGAAGACCTTGGTGAGTGCCATCTTTATTAAGATCTGGATCAGAATCAGTGTGATTTTATTTATTTTCTGCCATTGTTAATGCCCATTGGCCATATTAGGGAGCATTTGGCGTATTTCAAATAACCTACCTCTCATTTTGGTCTCAATTGTCTTAGTGAAGATGAGTGTTGAAAGGCGTGAGTTTTGGGCACCAGTTGAGTTCAGCTGAGCGTTAGGATTGGATGAGATTGTCTCGCTTGGAGCAGACAGCTTCTAACTAAAACAAACAGGAGCAGAGTAAAAGTGCAGAAATGTAACTTGTCACTGGAACACCTGGGCTGACAGCAGAAACACTGTCACACTGTTTAAAAATGGTGACTAACTGTTGTTTCCTTGTCCTTACACAATGTCTGTGTCATTGCCATTGCTTTTTCCTGTTATATTGAAAATCATTTGTTATCACTTTATCATCTTAATCTTTTTAAATCTTTGCTCCATGCTTCAGTGAAAAGCAGTAAACTACTTACATTCAACTGTTATAACATGCATTTATTTGTGTATCAATACAATGCCTTTATAGGAAGAATGTTTTAAATATATATATTTTTTTTCTTTTACTAAATGGGCTATAACTTTACATTTCTGTGCTTTGTAAATGTTACCACATAATCCAAAACAATAACTCTTAAATGTAGTCTTTCATTTGGATTCCTGTACAGTGCTTCGTCTCTTGTAGACCTCCCTTGCTCCAACTCGCCCGGAGCTAAATAAAGAATATTGTTTAGTGAAACAGGATTAAAATGGTTTCTCGCCCGTATTTATCTCAGTAAGTGATAATGTTGGTGCATTGTCTCTTGCTACGAGGACATAGCAAGATATGGCCTAATGTTATTGTTTAAAATTCCCATTATTGCCTGTGGGTCTCTGTACAGTAAGTAAAACAGGTTGGACAGAACTAGGCTGCATTCGGCCAATCAGCCCCTCTACCCCCATGCCATCTTCTTGTCCACCCTTCCTCGTTCAATCTACCTGCCACTGTCACATCGGCTTTGTGGCAGTTCTGCCTGTTGCCTGGTTACAGGTTGGAGTGGACTGGACATAAGCATGACAGCCATGTTGATTAGACCTGACCCTGTTCCATCTCTGTCTGGATCCAACTCAAGCTGAGTGGCTTTTTGAGGTCAGCCCAGGCTGTCACATGAAGTCAATGAGCTCATACCAAACAAACAAAAGACGAGCAGAGAAAGAAGCTTCATGCATTGTGATGAAGTTTGATTGAAACTCAAATCCAAAATGCACATCTTGTAATGTTGTAACCACGTCTGAAAGAGAATAATTGAATGCATTTTTAGGAGTAAATGAATACTTCTGATGCCTATTTGCTTTTAAAGTTGAATGTTTCAGTCAAGGTTCAATTTATTCATCCATAAAAACATGGAAATTATAGTGCTCCAATTCTAAACAAACAGCACTGGTTATAAAAGCATTATAAATAAATACCCTTTAAATATATGATTGAATGGATAAAAAAATACATAAATATATATTCCATAACAAAAATGTTTAAAGGAATCAAACAAACAAAAACAACATCAGAACAAACAAACATTTAAATGGATTTAGTTTACAGCCTCCTTCATAAAGTTGTTGTTGTACTGTTTTATCCTTTGTTTGAGTCAGTAAAATGAAAAGTGATCACCTATTACAGTACCTCCCTGTATCCAGGTGTTCCCTGACAGTTTAATGAAGCTAACAACAGAAGTCTCCCCAGTGCTTCACTGTCACAGAAGCCAACAGCGTAAACATGAGAAATTCTGGAAAACACAAGGCAGTGTGTAGCAGGATGAGTTAAAACATGGATTCTGTCTCTGATCTGTCAGCGATACAACCATAATACACCCGAGTTTAATTCTCTTACACATGTTTTGACTGGGGGACTCCTCCCGGAGACAGGAAGGAACAAGGAAGCAGAAAGATGAGGGCGGCTGCTGAGCGACAGTGTGACAAGGTTGGACAGAGGAAGAGGCGTATGTTTGCAGGAACACCTTGTCTCCCCCCTGGTCTTCCATGTTTGTCACTCGAGCTTTTTTTTTAGATGTCAGAGCCTTTGAAATTTCTTTGGCCCGTTGCTTAGCAACTTGTGCCCAGCCGTGCTGAGTTGCGGGGCCGCGGTGGCAGGGAGTGTCATGATATGTCAGGTCAGCCGTGTGTGATTATAGTCTAACTGCTGTCTCCTCGACTGACACTCTGCAGAGCGGACGGCCAATCACACGCCTTACAAAAACAGTCAACAGGGGTTAGCTACGCCCGTCATGTGTGCTTACATGAGATAGCAGCCTCCGTCACGAGGACAGAAACAACAATGTGAACAACAGATGCTAAGATGAACACCACTCGTGCACAACACTTATAATAAAATCAAACTGATATTTAAATTCTACTCACTTTTTGTGGGACATAATAGGAACTTTAATTATACACTTCAGCTGCTGTGTGTGTTTTTTGCTTGTTTAAAAAAGAAAAAGAAAAAAAGGAAAAAGGTGTTTCCTAGGGCAACAGTTGGGTGACGTCTGAGAGCCGGCATTGCTGAGAGACGCACTGTCTACTTGCCGGGTGCCTGACTGAAGCGCGCATATTGATAATCGATACAAGACACTAGACCACAAGTTACAATTACAGCATAATGCTTAATGCTCTATAATGAGTGTTCTGCATAATGTCAGACACACAGCAAGTTATCTGACCCTGACCACTATAAGATAAAAATCATTTAAGATGTTGGATCAGTTTTTTTCGCTTATAATTGATATTAATTGATATATTTATATTAGGTTTAGAACGATACAATCACTGATTCCATCCAGTATAATTCACGATGCTGAGTTCATAATAAAAGATACAAGTTAAAACACCATTGAATTCTATACATTTAAGTGTCAAGTACGATTTTGCCCAAATAAGTCAAAACAATTGCTAAGGACAAACATATAGGTTTGAACAACATACAAGCCAAAACCATTTTAAATTCATGTACAGTCAATAATGTCCAAGCACATACAGATCTCACATATTACCTCCCACACACCCCTCAGCAGTCCCCCCCCTCACAAACTCCCTGATACATCAGATCACATGAGCAGATATGCCAGATAGATACTGGAGTATAGCCACTGGAATATACACAGATGCAATCGCAGGAACATGTCACGTTTCAGTGACGTTTGCACTGACTCCAGTGAGAGTCTTCCCCAGTCAAAGGTGTGGTTTACAAAGTGAGAGTGAAAGCAGGGGCCAGGATTCACGGCCAGTTTGTAGCGTAATAGACCTGTAGCTTTCCTGGGATGGATGGATGGCGGCGAGGCTGACCTGGCCGAAGCTGTGGAGGTGAACCTCTGAGGATAAAGATTGGAGGGCAGCCTGACTCCACAGATGGGCTCTGTTCCCGTCTGCTCCCCCACCAACATCCCCAGGAAAATTAATGGTCCAGTCAACACACTTAATTGTATCCAATTGCTCTGACATTAATTATTAACATTTGTCCATTATAATGTCTGTTCGTGTTATCAAGGGAAGCGAAGCAGAGGGGGAAGTGAGGCAGGGGGAGAAGGGGCGAGGAGAGAAATAACCAGAGACAGGCGTGGAGACCTGTCAGCCAAGCGTTGCAAAGATCCCATTACCTCCCAGTTCACAACAGCATGTATGCTATATCACATTTCTTCAAAAAGTCAATCCAACCTCTTTGTAAATATTAACACTGCTGTTTTATCCTGGAAGCTGAGGCTCCCCAAAATACAATTTCCAGTGTCTTCTTCTTTAAATCTCTTTACACTGCTTCAGGTGAAGCAAAAGAAAGACCAGTGTTTCCTTAGTTATTGGACTAAAGGTGACACCAGGCTTTAGCATCCAAATAAAATATTTGACATTTTGGTTTGAACCTAAGGTGATAAGCACAGCTGGGGACTACTTATTCCATCTCAAAGAGCAACAATAACAGACTTGTACTTGTCAAATAATAATTGATGCTGATGTATTCGAATATGCATGACTAATTTAATATTCTGTGCTTTTTGCCAAAAGGAATAGTGTTCGTTAAATTGATTCTAAAATGTTATGTGTTCGTCTTGGGCATAACCGGAAATATGGAAATATGAACCTTGGTACCAACACTTCCAATAATCAACAGAAAGTGGAATAAATAAATGGCAGACAACATCTCTTTCTCCTGCAGGCTCTCTGGGCGCTGTCCTCCTATATTTTTCTAATCTTAATTCAATCTTTATTCGCCTGCCACATCCACAGGAGCACTAAGAGAGCAGCAGTCCATAAAATAATAAGCCCATCAGCACAGCACAAATCCACACACACATGTGAGCACGCACACACCTACACACACACATACACACACATTCGCTGTCTCTCTGTTACATACAGTTCTCACATTATTCTGCTGTTACTTTGCTTACTTTAACTGTACATGATGGATGCATATCAGAGCACAAACTAAAGGAAATGTACATGTTCAAGTGAACTAACACATCCACCTATTATTTATACAATGGACAAGTGTAAAACACACACAACTGTTAACACAAAGTTAGCATTTGCTGCGCACTAACTGTGGCACAGAGACACCGCATATATCATGCTACATGTATCTATGGCATGTTTTTGAAATGTATGTGGCAGATAATTCCTTCAATTTAAATGTAATGCACAACACTTTGTTGAATGGGTCAGGGTGCATAAACACAATCTCCTGAGAGAGTTAGCCCCCCGGCAGAGTTAATGTATTGATTTTTCAGCGCTGTTCCATGATAAAACTATTTCATGAATTCCAATGAGACTCCTTCACCAGACTGCTGCAAAAGGAAAAAAAATACAATCATCCCAACGCAGAATATGTCATTGTGTTCGTTGCTTGTATAATGCATTTCTTTTAGAGTGATGGCAGGTGGTGGCGTGTTGTAAAGGTGGCATGGCTCTCAATGTTGCTGCTTTAATCTCTTCTCATTTGGAGCGATACCTCGTTCC